ATACACAGACACACACACACACACACACACACACTCACACAGACACACAGACACACAGACACACACAGACACAAACAGACACACACAGACACACACACACACACACACACACACAGACAGACACAGACACAGACACACAGACACACACACACACACACACACACCTTTGGCTGCAGGTCGGTGATGGTCTGTTTCTCTCGAGTGATGGAATCATCTCTATCATCACTGATGTTGAAGGTGTTAAACAGACGGATCATGTGTCCTTTATGCCACCTTCACATCTCACGATGAGACGCTCTCTTTCTGTCTTCAGAGAAACCATCTGCTGACTGCAAGACAACAATCAAAACACTAAGAGATGCTAATAAAAACAAACAATCTGAATATTAGGATGGAAATGAAAAAAGCAGCATGCTGTGTTATTTTAGTATCATTATCATAGTATCATTATCAATATCACATATTATAGTTTTTGTTAATATTATGAATTAGATTTTATTTTTTAATTTTCCATTAATGTTTTAGTAATTTTGTTGTGTTTTTATCATTTCTATATATACTTTTTAAATAGGTATATAGAGTATTTATTTATTTTTACTTATTCGTTTATTTACTTTTTTTAGTAAACCAAGTTAAAGAAAATGAAAAATGCTGCCTTGAAAAAAAATCTAAAAATAAAATAAAAACATTTTATTTCAACTAGTTGCTGTCACGTGTTGGTTTCTGTTTAGTTCCTGTCTGCCCTTATTTGGTTCTATTCCTGTTCTCTTTTAGTTAATCAGCTTTCATTAGTTTCCTCCTGTGTTAATTAATCATCTTATTAGTCGATCATTTGGTTTAGTATAAATAGCCCTGCCTTTCCTAAGTTCTTTGTCCTGTCTCCGTCGTGTTAAGAGGTTGTTTTCTCCCACATGAATTTATTAAAGACTCTTTTCATTTGGCTATCTGCCTCCTTCGTTCTCCTTCGTTCTCCTTCACCTGGCAACCCCTGACAGTTGTGCTGAAATAAAATGTATTTATTTTATTTTTAGATTTCAGTTAATGTTTACATTAATTCAAGCAACAAAGCATCAAAAATGCTGTTTTTATATGTACTAAAATAACTAAGACTTATATATATATATATATATATATATATATATATATATAGACTTTACTATTATAAAAATGACAAACAACAAAATTATTAAAACATTTAAGCAAAATAAAATACAGAAATCCTGAACTTATTTTATTTCAGCTAGTTTTCTTTTAGCTTAACTTGCAAACTAAAACTGTATAGACATACAAAATGATAATAAATGCTGCCTTGGCAACTTGCTGGAACTTTTTATTTTTATGCATTTTGAATTTTGTTTTTATCAATTTTTTATTTTATTTCAGTTAATGTTTGTTCTGTCTAGGTTGTGTGTTAATTCAAGTACTTGTTACTAATTTAAGTCTGAGTGATGCCGTTACCCCTGTTCATGTAAACTGTCCTGTGATTTTCTTCTTATGTCACTCACACACACACACACACACAAAAACTTCATTTTACACTGCAGTGTGAATCAATACCTATTCATGGAAACACAAAAGAGCTCTCGATGGCGAATGCGGCCTTTTTTTCACATTTCTAGGAACTGGTACTAAAACACTCAACTGGTTAATCCTTTAATAAACCAGGACAACACTGCACTCGTGATGTAGTCTATACTCTGGAAACAGCACGTCTACTTTAAATGAACGTGAGCGAGTCTGCAGGCCATGTACTGACGCAAAATAAATACATAAATACATAAATAAAAAAAAAATAAAATAACTAAATTAAACCATTTTATGTCAGCTAGTTTTCATTTAGTTTTACTTGTACTAAAATAACTAAAACTGAAAAAACGTCAAAAATGACAAACACAACAAAATTACTGAACATTAAGCAAAATAAAATATAAAAAACGTAAACTAGATTTCATTGAATTTAACTTGATGTGTTAAAATAACTAATACTGAAACTGAAATAAAAATGAAAGCAAACTTGACAAGAAACAACTAAATGTCTAAAAGTTTAACTAAAATGAAAATCAAAAATAAAAACAAATTCAAAATATTAATAAAAAACAGTATCTAAATGATACTAAAATAACAAGGTTCTGGCTCTGATATTTAGAAGTAACTCTTCCGTACATCAATGTGTTTTTGAGACGGTGTCCTAAAGTCATTCTGGAAGACTGTCGATGAAAGCAGATTATATTATTGCTCTACTAAACACGAACCCAGCACTGCCTCAACATTTAATCAACATGCTCTGATAATGCTGTGACTCTATTAATAGGATCTGCATTAAAATCACTGCTGTTTACTATCATTCACACTTCTCCCATGGAGTCTGTTCATTTAATGCACTCAGGTGAAGAGGATCTGATGTAACAGCCGTGGCAAAAACCTCCAAACGAAGCCATTACTGGAATCTAAAACGCACACAACAACTTCTCTGTTTAACGATGAACAGTTTGACCGCAGCTCTAGTCACTGCATTCAGAAAACCTATAAAACACATTTCTGCTTTATTTGCAGATTTGTCACGTTGAGAGCGAGGGTGAAGTGAACATAAAGATCAAGGAACGTATCAGTCGTCATGGGTAAACATAGAGTAAAATATGGTAAACTTGGGTGAACAACTCAAGCGGCCTTACAATGCAAAATAAGCAAATATTCCACTCACTGATCTGAATTCATTATTATAGTCAGTGAGTTTTTTTTTTTTTAAATAAATGCTGTTCTTTTGAACTTTCTATTCATCTGTGAATAGAAAACAGCTGTTTTGCATTGTAATAATATTAAACTGTTTTTAGTGCATATCGCGAAAGAAAGAAAGAAAGAATACACAAATACAATTCCCTTAAGAAAATTAACCATGGCTTTATTATAGTAACAAAGCATATTGTTATTTGCATAGTGCATATTGATTACCATTCGTATAACCACAGTTTTACTACAAAAACTATGGTTAAAATATATGGTTAGTGTAGCAAAACCATGGTTAATTTTCATAAGGGATGTGTTGCCAGGTTTAAAAAAAACCGTAATAAATGTACACCTTAAGAGGACACATTAATACAGAGATGCAGTTTTCACTGCTTTAAGATGAACAGAGCTTTGGATAGTTTCCATATACTCGTCTAGATCAACTCTGAGTAAAGAACAGAGAGGTTTAGAGCCAGATTTTTGTTTATGCATGTGAAATTTAGCTAGCAGGAAACACAATTAAGTTATATTTTCCTATATTCCCTTTTGAGTCAAACAATCCAAAGAAAAGTCACTTGCAAGAATGTATCTGTGTGTACAAAACAAGAAAAACAGCAACTCACTTCAATATCTGACGTATATTATAATTACATCCATAAGCTTTTTGTGAAATTTGGAGGAACTCATTAATCTGTTGCATGACCTCTTCATATTTAAGGAGGGAAGTATTTAGTTTCAGACATTGCTTATGATTTTGTTCATAAATAGCAATGCCAGTGCACCTTCACGTTCACCATCAGGATCCTCTCCGTTTCTCTTTTGCAAATAAAGCACATGAACCAGTTTGTGTTACTAATGTCTAAAACGGGAGCTGTTGTTCTTAAAATCACTGAGAACATTTGATTTTTTTTTGCATTGTGAATATTTAAGAGCTCTGTGATTAACAGTCGATCAGAATTAATGACAAACTCTGATTTGCTGGATTATGGATAATGTTCTTATTGCACTGGATCGAGAAACTAATTAATCAGAAACGTATTCATAGTTTGCAATGCATTAATTACAGATATTATTAGCTTGATTATTTGGGGTTTTCTGGAATACGTCAAAGCTTACCTGATTCTGAAGAGCAGATCTTGCACTCATTCATGACACAAAGACCATTTCTTATTCAGAGTCCTGGTTTATCCTGGTTTATCCTGGTCTTTTCCTGGTTCTTCACTGGTTTTCATGCAGTTATAGAGACACAAAGGCTGTCCAATAGATATGATATAAGAGAAATAACACACAGACAACACAAAACAGCTTCTGACACAACGAGAGATCAATATCTGTGAGCCTGCAGCACAAAAGCAGGCTTAAGTCGCTGGGGTATATTTGTAGCAATAGCCAACAATACATTGTATGGGTCAAAATTATACATTTCTCTTTTATGCCAAAAATCATTAGGATATTAAGTAAAGATCATGTTCCATGAAGATATTTTGTAAGTTTCCTACCGTAAATATATCAAAATTTAATTTTTGATTAGTAATATGCATTGCTAAGAACTTCATTTGGACAACTTTAAAGATGGTTTTCTCAATATTTAGATTTTGTTGCACCCTCAGATTCCAGATTTTCAAATAGTTGTATCTCAGCCAAATATTGTCCTATCCTAACAAACCATACAGCAATGGAAAGCTTATTTATTCAGCTTTCAGATGATGCATAAATCTTATTTTCGAAAAATTGACCCTTATGACTGGTTTTGTGCTCCAGGGTCACATATACAAACATACAGATATATTAAAGAAAAAAAGTCAAATGATGCTCAAGTTTGGACTTGAATTTAATTTATTACTGAAGGTCTTAGATCAATATTTGTTTGACAGCAATGTTTCAAGACCTACAACAGATAACAGTACATAACTGTCTTTAAGCTTTAACTTTGAACACTAAAAGAGAAGTCGAAGAACAGACAGTGTTTAATTTCAGAAAGACAGCATTAGTAAACGAGTTTTATTTCAGTGAACCACCATCTCCAGCTGTTCATGTAACCACTAAATTAGGAAGTCCATAAATAACAAAGTTGAACGCAGAAGGAGTTTTTCTCTGGACGTCTTCAGATGAAACCGCTGAACTCTCGTCTGCTGTGAGATAAGAAAAATGACAAAAGGCCTTCATCTCTTATTATTTTGTGGTTATTTGGTTGCATAAACAGTCAAATGTGCACATGCTGCAGAAATAAAGCAAACAAACACACGAGACCTGTCGGGCCGGACGAGTTTCCACTGACTTCTGTGTTTTCTGACTTGTGTGTCTGTAAAACATGAGCGGCTCGTCCTGAAGTCAGTCCTGCTCTCAGAAGATCTAGAGCCATGAAACACGAATGAAGTTGATATCAAAAGTGCTTCTGAACAAGCATCACGTGTGTGTGTGTAAGTGTGTAATATAACCCTTAGTTATTATAGTAACTAAAACTGAATCTAAAAGTGTAGGTTTTTCCCCCATACTTAATATAAACGTTAGCTTGAAATTGAAAACTTATTTTATTTCATCATGCTCTAATGTTTGAGATACAGTAATGTCCTTTACTAACACTGAACAAATTGAGATAGCATTATAGTTTTTATTAATATTTTGAATCTGCTTTTATTTTTGCATTTTTCGTTTTCATTTGATTTTTTTTGTTAGTTTTAGTAATTTTGTTTTTTGTTGTTGTGTTATGTGTATTTTTTAATGTTTATGTTTTTAGATGTTTTATCTAGTTTTGTCAATATATGTCTATATAAATTTTATACATTTTTATAAAAAAAAAACGTAGTTAAAATGAGAAATGTACTTGAAATTAAATAAACATACACTGAAATATCGAAGGATATAAAATATTAAATATTAAAAATATTTTATTTAAAAAAATTGTGCTGTCAAACGATTGATTTTATTTTGCTTTCAAAATAAAAGTTTTTGTTTACATAACATATGTGTGTGTACTGTGTATATTTATTATGTATATATAAATACACACACACACTCATATATATATTTAAGAAAAATATTTTATGTTTATATATTACATTTATAAATTATAAGAATATACATATGCATGTAAATATTTTCAAAATATATACATGCATGTGTGTGTATTTGTATATACATATTAAATATACACTATACGCACACATGTATTATGTAAATAAAAACTTTTATTTTGGATGCGATAATTCGAGATTAATCGTTTGACAGCACTAACATTTTTTATTTTTATTTTATTTTATTACAACAAAATGACTAACACTTCAACAAAAAATTGAAATTAAACTGAAATGAGAAATTTTAAACAACAACAACAACTGTAATAGTATCTGAATATCCTTCAGTGTTAGTAAAGGATGTTCCTGTAGATCAAACATTAGAAAATAACATCAGGTTGTGGGTTGGATTCCCAGTGACTGCATGAAGGCAGTATAATTAGTTTTTGTATAAATGCATGAGTGCAAGTGTGTGATGGACTCACGGTCCATGAGCGAGCGCAGGTTTTGTGCATCTGCTGCGGCGCTGCTGTGCCACTGGTTGAGCAGGACAGAATGAACCCCGCTGAGAGTGAAGAGATACGCCGAGCCGAGCGGACCGTCTGAAGCCCGGCTGGACCGTCTGAAGAAAGTGAAGCTCATAGTGAACCAGAGAGAAAACATTCTCACTTTTTGTCATCCTGGAGTTGATCATATTTGTATGCAAAGTTGCAATGCAATGCAAGAAGATTTTTTCATTTAAACACAGAAAATAAGACAACATTTTTCAGATTCTTGACTATTTTTAGTCCACTAATCTATTGTAATTGTATCTGTGACACTGGAGACGCTGCAGACTCTATTTTGTGAACGGCGTTTGTGTCTTTAGCTTGATATCGATGATCTCGGAGCTCATCTATATGCTAATGTTCTGCTAACAGCTAACAAAGATAAACCTCTAGCAGAAATATGCATTTATCACATTTGCTGCATTAATCTGTCCATGCTTGATCTGGATTTGGTGCAAATGCCCGAGTAAAGAGCGCTGAAGCACAGTTTATTTAGGGTTATTATACTAAAACCATAAAACATTTTAGTTACTTGAAATAAAATGAATGTTAGCTGAAATGCATAACAATATATAAAACATTTTATTTCAGGTTAGTTGCCAAGGCAACTTTAGTAACAATTGATTTTACAGTGTCCTGGTTACGCATGTAACATGCACTTAATATTATAATAACAATAAATTATGCATAATTACATGCAAGTAACCCTAAGCCAAACACGAATCCTAACACTAATAAGTACATGTAGGTAACTAATATTACTCAGTACTTAAATGTATACTTATTACACTGTAACAAGGACACCTTCAAATAAAGTGTAACCGCAACTTTTCTCATTTTTATCTAGTTTAACTTTAAGTACTAAAATAAAATAAACTATAAAAAGAATATAACTATAAATATAAATAGTTATAAAAAATAACTATAAAATATATACAGATATATTAAATAGCTATAATAAAAATGACAAAAACACAGCAAAAACTTTAAAATTAAAATGAAATTAAAAAAAAACGCAAAATATAACATAGAAAAATATAAAAATGGAAAATATAAAAATAAAAACTAATAAAAAACTATATCCTTACCAGTGTAATTTTATTATTATTATTATATTTGTTGTATTAATAGTTTCAATTATTTATATTTTATTTTTCATTTTCATTTTTTATTAGTCTATTTAGTTTTTTTCCATCAAGTTAAACTAAATGAAAACGAGAAAAGTTGACTGCAACTACCAGAAATAAAATAAGTTAAAGTTTCATATATTCTCATTTTTATTTCAATTAATATTTTAATGGTTTTGCTTCTAGTTATATCTAATACTACTGATAATACCATTTGCAATGGCAAACTTGGTATTGAATTAGTAAAGGCCAACAGAAGCAGTGGCCTCGATCACCCTCAAGAGATCAATAAAGTACAAATCAATAAATCAAACACAATAATTCTGTTCCTCTGACTATTTTCAAGGCAAAATCCATGAGATGCCTTCTGGACATCACTAAATCACTGTACAGTATAAATTGTGTTTCACCTCTTCTGGATGCTGACTCTGTTCTGAACGCTTTCAAAGAGAAAAACCATCTGACATCCTGCGGAAAAACCAACACAGAGAGAACAATGAAAAAAAATAAAGCATTGTTTAAGAGCATTAGTACATGACAAAGCAACACTCAGCATGAAGTAAAAGCACAGCTGTGATTGATCTGAAACCCTGAAGAACGGCTCTATGAACGCTGGAAACACTCATTAGACGGAGTTGTTTTGTGGACAGAACGGCCGTCTGTTGTGTGCTGAGTGGATTAAAGCGGTTCCCTGCGGACGCCTGCTGTTCCTCTCAGTGATCCAGAGCTCCGATCTGTGATCGACTGACTCAGAAGCGACCTGCATGCACACTTCACACAGCTTTAGCGTCTCACGGTGGATCCAGATGCTGATTTATCATGTGCAGAAACACACAGAAGGCACTTCAGACTGTATGGTTCATTTCATCTTTATGTAGTTCTTGTACGTGTCAGATGTCATTGTACACAACAATATTCAAAGGTCCGTTCCTCCACAACTTTCACAGTTTTAGTCTGCAGATGCTCCTGGCTTCTGTGCATTACATTTCAAGAGTTTAGAAGTTTAAAGGGATAGTTCGCCCAAAAATGAAAATTCTGTCATTAATTACTCACCCTCATGTCGTTCCAAACCCGTAAGACCTCCGTTCATCTTCGGAACACAAATTAAAATATTTTAGATGAAATCCGAGAGCTCTCTGACCCTCCATAGACAGCAAGGATCCGAACACGATCAACGCACAGAAACGTAGCAAGGACATCGGTTAAATAGTCCACGTGACATCAGTGGTTCAACCGTAATTTTACGAAGCTACGAGAATACTTTGTGTGCGCAAAGAAAACAAAAATAATGTGAGTGTGAGTGTGTGTGTGTGTGAATGAGTGTGTGTGTGTGTGTTTGTGTTTGAGTGTGTGTGTGTGAGTGAGTGAGTGAGTGAGTGAGTGAGTGAGTGTGTGTGTGTGTGTGTGTTT